GGGCAAAGGCGGTGTTCAGGGTCCCAAGCAACGCCACGCGAGCATATGCTGGCTTTGGCACTGCAAGGTTACTCGCAGGGTAAGAGTGGCCTGACACTTTTTAAATTCCTCAGGTTAAAGGGTATTGGCGAAGGACGCGCTCCGAGAATGATGCGTCTAAAGCCACGTGATTATAGGAAAAAGATAACGCAGGTCACCCCCGTGCTTTGCCTTCTATCCTAAACCAAAAGCGCAGCCGGGCATTCCCTACATTATTCTAAGCCTGATACGTTCTTACACAAGCAGAATACATTTAGTAAAATGTAAACGTCACTCACTGGATATTATAAATAACTACATCTCCAAAGTCTACAAACTTTAACAGACTCTAAACATTATTTCACACGTAAGCACCACCAAGTATTTAGAAACTTTGAATAGTTTGAAAGCGAGGCTGATGAGCTACAGACCCGATTGATACACTGTACCTTTGAAATGCTCTTGTACTTTCTTCCAGAACTGAGGTAGCTGCTAAGTGAAGACAGGCTTTTGTATGCATTCTCTAGTGGCAAGAATCCGGGAAAAGTAAATGCGGTGTCTCTAAGTTTTACTATAGATGCTGCCCCCACACAAGTGAAACTCCACTTAGGACTCCACAGCATCTGCCCAAGCTTTATTATGGAATCCAGGCAACACGAGGCTTTACGACCATTTCATCAAGGCCCAGACTCACACCATTAACTGTCTACAGTGGAGTAAGTGCTGTGAATGCCAAGATTTGCCTCCGGCTTCACTATCACCATCCTGAGGGTTGGGTCCGGGCCTCTCTGACGCACGTGCATCTCTCGGAGTGCTTTGTGTAGTCATCAGTCATCGCTGTTGTTGCATATTCCCGTCAATCTTCTGTGTCCTGCTACCTCCCTAGCCTGAAGAAAGCATGCAGATGATGCCATAAAACGACTGTAAAACTAAATATCTAGAGCTATCCATAGCTCAGCTCCCCTCAGGCAGCTTTCACCACTAGCTTTGGAATGAAGAAGGGTCTCTGGGATTGAATCAGCCATTCTCACCGCAAACTAAAACAGGAAACCCTCAGAATCAGGGTCACCAGATGAAGTTATTACCCACATAAGATGGTTTTCTATAGAAAGAGAGCTTCTATTGACACTTACAAGCCAAAAATACTATATAGATCAATTAGAACATCAAAATCATGGGACTCGGAAGAGATTTCTTGACACCCCTGGATAACATGGAAATGGAAAAACTTTTCTTATAAACCAACTTACTGCCAATAGTGAGTGAAGGTTTGTGTGGGCTGAAAGGCTCTAGAGCTAGCCACATATCTATTTGTAGATTGGATTGGATTTGAGAGGAAGTAGGCTGCCATTTGGAACAAGGTCAGACCCCATGGAACCGCCTGGGAGGACAGGCAAACTATAATGACTCCACTCCCAAGTCTCCCGGGTCGCCGGTCTGAGGAGCAGTTTCAGGCCTGCGGTGGTGCTGGGTGGTCATCGGGAGCTGCTTGTGCTGGAATGGTCGGCTGCAGAGTGGTTGACCTGTACAGCACTTCTTCCCCGTAGGTGGTCCCGCTTGAGAGAAGAGCAGATCCCTCCGTCCCCACCCAGGCTCCCAGTTGGCCTGAAGTTTTGCACACTAACACTCGAGGTTTACAAGAGATTCTGTTAGGTCAGGTTTACCCTGTCCTCAGATATCTGCTTGCTGTGTTCAACATTTTTATTCTAATAGCATAGTATAATTAAATTCAACTTAAATTTTTATGACATGAAGCCATTATCTCTTAGATTTGCGGAGCTACTGATGTTTCTCAGACACATGCAAAACCAAACAAAAACTGAAAGTTTATTGCCTCACCACCTAAAATGATCCTGCATACTTTGGGAGACAGCACTCGCCGATACCCTCAAGAACATTCTAACTTTCTCTCTTTCCTGGCCATGTGACGATGCACTCCCAGCCCCTTGGTAACATCTGAAGCTGTTCTAGCTCTGGCCAGAGAAATATGAGCAGAAGTGATGTGTGTCATATCTGAGCTGAGGCAGTGCGATGGTTCTCTGAAGAAATTTTTCTGTCTCAAGTCTTTTCTTAAGCAAAGGAGGAGTACTTAGCCCTGAAATGGGGCACCAGGAGATTGAAGCGTGTTGGGACCAACTCCTGGAAAGCTGCCCAGACTCGGGCGGATTTCATATGAGCTGGAACCATGGTGTTCTGTTAGGCTATGTGGGTGGCTTGTCTGTTTGCTTGTTTTTGTTTGTTTTTCTTCACCATGGTGTTGTGTGTCCTCCCTGGCTGAACGCACACACTTTCCGTACCTTGCTTTGGGACTCTTGCTCTTGGACAGACAGGACATCCACAAGTCACTGATACTGTGACTCTCTGTCTGCCACTCAAACTTACTCCAGCGGAAGGGATAATGCTGCCGAGGAGAGACGTGGAAATGGGAATGAAGTAGGGGTGAAGTGATTTCTGGGACCACTTTTAGATGGAGGCAGATATGTCATTAGCCTTCCCATGTGGGCACTGAACACAAAACTTATATCATAGATACTATTTTTAAGTAAATACCGTACCACTATACCTCTAGCACATTGATTAGAACCATTAATAAACCAAAATATCACAATAGCAACGATGCTGAATCTTTTTAGAACTAAAGATAAAATTTCTCTACAGTAGCCGTGGACTTTCAGCCCCTGTAATCCCTCCTCTCCTCCAGCGAGCCCTGCTCTTCAGGGATGTCCAGTCTGGAGCTGCTCAAGTGTCCCCATGCAGCTGCTGCACCATTGCCACCGCCGATTCTTTCCCTGCATTTGGTGCACACGCCTCATGTCACAAACCAAGTGTGTGGATTAACCGTTTCCCACGTTCTGTGTTTCACAGAGGTGAGAACAAAGAGATAACTGAATTGTTCCCGATGCCTACACTGCAGGCAACAGCCCTAGGAAATGGCATCCACCACTTGGTACCGCCAGGCTCACCCCAGCCCCTGCCTGAAAGAGGTTCACCTCCTCTCTCTGCCATCAGCCAGAGGACTCACTGAGCAGTCGGCTGACCATATCCTCCCAGGTGGCCCAGCTTCTGTAAAGAACAAGAAAGACCCATAACATTTAAGGAAAATTGCTCTTCGTAAAATTTTCAAATTCTTTGTGTCTGTTTGACTTATATTAGGTTTATTCTCATCTTTTAGATGCCTGATAATAAAGCAAGGAAAAGTCTTTGTCCCAGATACTGGCTTTAATGGACTTAAATCAAAGAGCAGTTGTGCAGTCCTCATCCTCTTTAGATAATAAAATGAAATTACCAAGAATGTTCATAATTCTGAAAATTCTTTTAATTTTTAGGTCCTGGAATGTTTCCTTGTACTCTTCTTTTGGGGTATAGAGAATGCCTTAAAAAGCAGCGTCCCAAATTTAAACACATCGAACAGGAACTTCCGGAATACTTTGCAACTTACCAGTTTGTATGCTGCTATACTATAGGTGTGTAAGTTGTTGGTGTTACCCATGGTGAACTATTCATAATACATTACTAGTACTCTCAACACCTAGTTCTGTACTTCACTGATTCCATTTTAGCAGAAAAAATAATGATTATTATTAATTTGCTGCTTTCTATGTGGTAGGCCTGGTGCAGCACATATTCACATATGATCCAGTCTCACTCTCCATCAGCCACTGACACACAGCAGAATCTAGGAACTTGCCTGAGGTGAAACACCAGGAAGCAGCACAGCCACCATTTTGAACCCAGACTCTGAGACAGCTCCAAAAGCCACGCTTGCCTTTCAGGGCATGTTATTTGGGCAACACGTCATGATGGTCCTTCCAAACACTGCACTAACAGAAACCTATCTTTAGTTCATATTCACAATGAATCATACATAGTTTTAAAATGAAAACCTTTCAAGGCAGCTGAAGCAAGTGTCATGATCAGTGACTAAACTCACCAGATAAAGTCCTACGGCTGGGCTGTACTGGGTGACAGAGAACTGACATTGTAGGCTGCTAGGTCCTGACTAGTCTTCCTAGATGGTAATCAGGCACAAGACTGAAGCTAAACTCAGGAGGCAAATCATTAAGCGACAACTTTTCAAGCTATCTAAGATAATAGATGTCTTGTGAAAAATTGTCAGGTAATGATGGCTATTCTTATTTTTAGATACACCCAGATGCATATTTCTAGTTAAGGTTACAAGAAAAGAAAGAAATTTCCAAGAAAATGGTTAAGGGTAATGAATCACTTACAAACAGTTACTGATGGTTTTATTGTTTTACCCAAAATATTCCACCATTTTCAAACAATATTATCACTAATGTGCCCAAAGATAATGTTATACTCTATTCACTGAAAAAATGGACTGAGTATGAGACCAATAGTAATTGCCACAAACTGCAATTTATCCATCCACTGTATTCTTTGATCTCACACTACACATTAAGATCAACCTATGTGTTCTTTCTTCTTGTTAATAACTGGCATAATTTTTAAAATTCAGTTGCTGAATTGTTTAGTTTTTAGAAAGGAAGCAATGAGGGAGGGAAAGTAGGAAAGAAAAGGGAGGGAGGAAAGAGATAATTCCATTAATTACTTTTTAAGCTTTTCTGTGCTCTATTTCCAGTCTTGAATTTTACTTTTCTATAATCTCCATTACACTTCCACTGCTAGCACCAGACCTAGACCCCTTAGCATGGAGTGATTTTTTCCAATAAATATTTGTTGAGAGTGCATTACAAGGCAATACATTTAAAGT